AATAATTAGAGTGCCCAGAAAAGTATTAAATAAATAAATAAAAAATAAATATATACACAAACAATATAAATAATTAATTACATAAACTTTATAACATAAAAGCAAAAAAAAAAGAGACAACAAATAATATTAATAGTAATAATGATCGTCATTATGAATTTTGTGTCAATTTAAATTTAGTTTTTCAGTTATCGAAATCATCATTAATTAATAATTCAATTTTATTATACAACATACCAATAATATATAATAATATGCAATGTATAATAGTATACAAGCAGTCCACATCCCTTATAGAAAGATAAGCTTCACATCTTAAGATCTGAATAATCTGTTTACGGACATGACGTCACGAACATAACCATCATGATAATGGATATTCAAAATAATCCAAGACACAGTACTAGCTCTATCCTTTGCAACAGAATACGTAATATTACGACTCTACATTTACAGATTATCTAGTACGTAAGCTACAAATATATGTAGACCATGTGATCCCTCCTGGAAACCATCGAGATTAATTTCTGACGAATTTATCACGTTGGTCCAACTGAACTAACTTTATCCTCGCCTTTAATCCCTTACTGGTGTCCCACCAACATATATTGATTACACAAGAATATTACCTATTAATTTAAAAAAATAGATAAATACGATGACCTTAATATTTCATACGTATTTAAATTTGAAAGAATATAACTATTGTGTCTCCGATAAAATTGTTTATAATTACTCCTTTCCAAAAGGTTGCTTGAAAGAGATTGCTCTTAGCGATAAGACTGCCCCTTGTTTTCTTAGTGTGATATTTTTTTGTAATTGTTTGTATCTACATTAAGATTACTGCATTTAGGTTTTTGGAAGAAACAATAAAGAGTATCTATCCATTTATCTATATGCTTTTATCTTAATTTAAACGTAAAAAGCCGCGGGTTACTGTAAGTACAAAAACAATATTTTAAAGCAGTGAATACAATAGATATGGAATGAATGCTGCCCTTTTCATCTTTCAGCCATTTTTAGGCCTACTTTTGTACTCCCATTTGTAATTCCTGCGGGCGAAGAACCTATTCGTTAAAAATTTTAATTTCTGATTGTCCTCAACACCGATTGAAAAAAATATTCTTGTACCATTTTTTTTTACTTATTCATATTATTTATGTATATTGGATGATATTTTTTATGCAACTTAGAATGAATAGATGGAAAGTGGTAACCGTCTGCTATATATACAGTATCATAGACAAAACAAAGTATACTCTGTCGCTCATGATACTCTTCATGTGTTACCATTTCATAGGACTAAGGTGTTAAGATATTGTAATTATTGGAACTATTATCATTCTTTTAAAGAAATATTTTCAAGCAAACTATACATGTTTTGTGTAGTAATCTTACAGTCTTTACTTTTAATTGTTACTTTATTATTTTTCAATGCATATTTCACTTGGAAAATATTCAGTATTACTATTATAAGTGATATTCCTCATTCTTTCACTCTCATGTTAAAAAAACTAAACAATATACAATTAGCACCTATACAGATATAACTATATATAAGTTATACTTAATATACATATAATTACATTAGAATTTAATTTTTTTTAAGCACAGCAGGTGAACAAGCTTGCGGCTCACTTGATGGTAAAAGACTACCCCCACCTAAGAATACCCACAACAGTAGCGAAACAGCAGTCGTCCTGCCGGCAGTTTAGAAAAGAAATATGCTCTTTTCTTGAAGGTTAATTTATTTTGCTTTTTATAACAAATCAATAGCGGTTGAGAATAGTGGGCAAATAAGAATAAAATACCAATTTTATACTGCAATTATGCCAATCTGTTTTTTTATACAAAATTCAACAAGTTTATGTTGCTCTTCAAAAAAAGAAAAATGTCTGAATTAATATGAGTCCCAAAATTAATATGAGATCAATATGGAACTAAACTTTACGATTTGCAAAACTACTATAAAAAATCATAATCAATTAAAAATTGGCATAACATAGCCACATGAACAATGCCAACGAATTGAGAACTCCCTCTTTTTAGAAGTAGCTTAAAACCATTTATCATTCTGAATAGGAAATAAATATTAAATGGTACTTAAGTTTCACGCCCCGGGCATTGGTCGACTATCTCGGATCTTCCCATTAAATTATTCATAACACAATTCAGAAAATAAGCACATTTATATTATTGGCAAAGGAAACTCTGCTAACAAGCTTTTTACAAATAAATCTTTCTCCACGCTGTCTGTTTGTATTAGTCTGGACGTTTACTATTACATTTATTTACTTAAATATTGAAAAAAATATCTAATAATAATATCTTTTTATATTTTTATTTTAAGTTGATTTGACACCATATATTACTGTTAATTAGGCATTAGCTGGCCCTTTAAAAAATACAATATGTACTTTCAGACATATCTCTGTAATCAGGCTCGCGTTCGTTTCACAGCCGCTCAAGATTAAGAGCCACAAATGATCCCAAAACTAGTCGAGTTTTCTCAAGCAAATTTCACGTAAACCAGTTGTTGTTACATTAAAATATCTCTTTACATAGCTGAAAGCTTTGCTCACATCTTGGAATGGGGTCCAGACAATCCCCACCCTCTCCCCCCTAAATACGCTTATATAATTAGGCCGCTAATCCTCTTTACCAATAATCCACACTTTAGTACAACGTAAAGTGGCAACTGATGGAATACAAATTTCGTCAGATTGATCTCCACACCAGCGCAGTGTATATTCCAGTGTCTACTAATTCATCACAATAGGCTAACTAACTTCATTTCATCTTCTGTCAATGGTACCTCGCCATTGTAGACTAATAATGCGGATGTATGCAGTATTCCATTTTAATTGATTAAATAACTATGAATTTATTGAAAAATTTAAAAAGCCAAGACAGAAACAAACCTATAAAAAGAGCTGATGATTTTTAAACGCCTGAACAAATCTTTATAAATTGTACGTATCTCGATTACATCAGCTGTCAAACAAAAAAAAACGTATCATAATCGGTTCATTCGTGTAGGAGTTACGATGTCACAGCAGACACACTGATACGTCAAATTTATAAAACTCCTTTTGTTGCGTTGGAAGTTAAAAATAAATCTTAATGCAAACGGAAAAGAATACGTACGGCCAAAAGAAAGAACAAAATCAAATTATTAGCTCAAAAACAGTAATAATAGGTTTTTTGTGTACTTTACCACAAGTTAGATGGAACACACAAAGATGGCTGTTTACCAAATGAGTTCCCTAATAGGGAAAGTTAAAGTTGTGAAATACATATAATGGAATTAAGCCGTTTGTATCAGAAAGACCTATACTTAGACAGGTACTTATATATAAATTACAAACTTTTCACAACCAAGTTAGAAATAAGATTACGGCATTTTAATAAAGTTAAACAATGTTATTAAAGTCCTTTTCAGTTACCAAGAAGAGTGTTTAAAAGTTTATATTAATTTATAGAGGAGAGAAAACGAAATTGTCTGTGAATGCCCAAAAAGGTAATATATACGTATATGGTCCGTTTTACTAAAACATAATAAAAAAGAGTTCTATTGAAATTATCACAGAAACGCTCTGTAAATGAAATTAGTAACAAATGTACTGATAGTTTTTTTAATGAATGATAATGGAATGATAATCCCGCTGGAGCTAACGGTATACGCTGGCGAGGCACCAGTGAGGGATGATAGGTGAGAATTAAAAGGTAGGTCAGTTAGCCCATCGTGAGAATACACCTAGAATTCAATACCATAGTTTTCAAGGGGGATCACGTGGACGTCGATCTGATAAGGTATATTGCTAGCAATGGGAGAGATAGTCTCCATTACTAACAATCCCTTCCCCAATGAAAAGAAAAGTGGATACATAATATATGATAATATAATGAAAATTTGAATTACATTTCTTTTTTAATCATGTGTAACAATTAATATAATATGTTTATATTAATTGTTACACATGATTAAATTACAAATATAATTCAAATTTTTAATAGATTTTTACCAGTTTTACCCATTTCCAAATTATGTATAAGTATAACTCATAAATCCAACCATGAATATATTTTTATTAATATCATTAATCTGAAAGTGTGTTTATTACACCTTAACACCTTAATGTACAATAAATCGTTATAAAATGTGGCATACACGTAGACGTAATTGTTGATGCAGAAGGACATAGCCTACTGTGGCCAAGTGTGGGGGCCAGAATACCGTAACATATAATACCGTATCTTAGTTCGGATTCTGTTCACTTCCAATGGCAGTCTATACATATTTGATTTTGTAAAATGTATAAATGAAGTGCCATTGCGATAGAAATAAATAAAAAAATAAATTGTCTACTTTTTATTCCGTTCAATTACCTTGTGAGGATAAATAAGTCGTCGTGAATAAAAACTAGGAATATTATAAATGTATAAATAATAAATTACCGTGTTTTCCTAGGATAGAATCCCTTTCTTTACCGTGGGTGTTGGAAGAGGTGACTAAGAGATTTTACTTCATGGTCTTAACTTCATGATCGAAGGATGGACAGCAGCGTTTCTCTTAAAACATCACCAAATATTAACTGCGATTGCCAACCCACCTGGCAAGCGTGGCAAGGCTTATATTTAGCAATGGACGGTAAACGATTGATGCAATGACGATGATTATAAATGTAAATTGAATTTTTTTTTAAATATTTGGATATAAATATTTACATATTTACTACTCAATATTAGATAAACATATACCTAAACAACTTTTTATCCTAATTAACATAAGAAAAATTGCTAGTATCATTTATTTACTAAATACTATCGCGCTTTCATACGCAATACTAAAAAAAAAATGTCGCGAAAATTGTACAATGGCAGGAAATCATCGGGTTACAAAGGTATTGCTGGGCGGGCGGGAGCGTGGCTGGCCAGGCCGGCAGCCACCTTGCCGCCCGCGTGCCTCACCCGTACCGTTCCGCCGCAGTCTACTCACAGCTACCGCGGACTGCGCTCCATACCGGTACGCGGTTACCGGCGTCGTACTACGCGAAACTGTACTATGAATTAAACATTCAACTTATTAATTAATTATGAACTAAACATCGGCTCACGACCATATCGGAACTATTATTCGGTGCGTCCCTGTGTTCTTCTGTATCCGTGCCCGTACATAGTGTCCATTGTTTTGTGAACAATCAATCCCGTATTTTAATTTCTGCTCCGACTGTTTGGTGTAAGTACATTTTAATTGATATGTTATTAAAATTTATATTCATATTTTTTCAATGAAACGTCGCCAGTCAGATATGAGACGTGTGGAATAAGCAACAATAAACATTAGCATACTAAACACTCGCAATACGCACGATAATCCAATGTTTACGTTTCCCAGTGCGAGAATAACTATCAAAGAGTGTGTACGCATTGATAAACGCGCGTACTGGTTTTATCGTGGTTCGTTAATAATCTTATATTATACCTAGCTATTGCCAATAATTTCGTATGCGTAGGTTTTAGTATGTAGTAAGAAAACTAATAAAATAGACCAATTATAGATGGTATATCAAGATAAAACATATACCAGTTTTTAGGTTAGACCTTTAGGAATATAACTGTGAGAACCGCATTCAATTTGGTGTAGTAGTTTTTGCATGACGTCAAAACAAATAGACATCATTTTTTCTTAATTATCTCTTTTATATACAAATTGTCTAGTTATACATATTTTTATTATATTAATGAAATTCTAGATGAAAGATTATACTATAATTACAAAACAGTAGTATTTAATATGCATAGGTTACGTACATTTAAACTATATTTTTTTTAATCGCTAATAGAATCCATAATGTGTTAGTAACAGAAAGGATATATTAAGATTACTTAGACCGAGTAGATAACGATAATCCATGTCAGGCCGACGTCCAATCAGCCGCACTGGAAACTATAGTAGTTAATTCCAGAAAGGGATATCGTTTCATATTCATTTATTAAAAACGTGTTACTAAAAGGACTCGCATGGTGAAGGGATTGTTAGTAATAGGGCCTAATAGTCTTATTGCTAGCAACACCATGGTGATTTCTTATGAATTTGTCATGACAAGTTTATCATTTTTTACTGATGTCCCGATAGGGCAGGTAGAGTCACCATTCCATTATCATGCTGTACAAAAAACAGGATTCGTAAACTATGTTAATAAAAGTTTATTTATATAATTCTCTGTGTTTACTAGTTGTACTGCAATTATTTACAGTGTAGTCCCGGCATAGAATAGGCCATCACTTCCATTCCAGTGGATATCGTAACAGCCTTCTGCCAAGAGTGGCAATTACTGACAAAACCCCCCCATATAGGGTAGGCCTATGTTCAGCAGTAGACAGTTAACGGCTGATAAAATACTGATGATGTTTTTTTTATACAACTTAGAATGGCAAACAAGCTGACGACCCACCTGATGGAAAGTGGTAACCGTCGCCTATAGACATGAGCAGTACCATGGACATAACAGAGTATACTGTTTCACCCATGATAACCTCCCCCCCCAAGCGTTGCCATTCCTGAGGACTCAGGTGTTATTCTTTTGTACCCTGTAAATTCACGCCATATCCTACCCTTCAAACAGAAACACAACTGCTTCACGGTTGAAACACGAATGGGACAGAGGTACCCAAGCAATCGACTTTTGTACAAAGTCTCCCTCTGGTAATGACTGGACCTATAATGTAGTAAAGTCTTTTAGGACCATTGGAGTTGTACTGGAAAATTGCACTATCTAGCTTCTCTGATTTTACTTTTAGGATGCTCTTCTCGTAAATTTTATGCCAGAATTCTTTCATTATGTTACGAAATACATCTGTGTGTGACTCCGTATAACCCTGATTGAATTATTATAGGCTTTTTGCATGCTGTTTCGTACATGTGGCTTTCAGAAATATACTACTTCTGGATGGCGTATCGAGACAAAACACACACCAGTTTTTAAAAACTGGTGCGTGTTTAGTCTCGATACTTAAATTAGATCTTCCGCATCTAATTTCAAGTAGTAGTTTATATATATATATATATATATATATATATATATATATATATATATATATATATATATATATATATATATATATATATATATATATATATATATATATATATATATAGACGCAGGCAAATTTCCTAAAAAATATTGTTTTGGCCTTTTTTACTCTTATTAAGACCATTCATATTATTTTTCCTTAAATATCTCCTATGCACAGACATCTGTCACGAGATACTTATTACGATCTGTTATCGCAGTATAACGAAATGTAAACAATACGATATAGGTACATGTATTGCTTTGGGGCCGTGCGAGCCAGATGCTCCAATCTTCCAGATATAATTATAATAGATTGTCCAAATTTCTGAAATGTGTACTTTAGTTGTAGTACTTATTACGGTACTAACTGTTACTTGTGACTATGCCTGCGTGAACTGAGATAATAAATACCCTATGTGGTTATTCTAGATAATGAGCTATTTGTTTCCTAAATTTCAATGGAATCTTAAAAAAAACATTTATTTATTTATTTATTTACACTTTATTGCACCAAGTAACAAGAGAAATAACAAATACAGTAAATATTAATGAGAAGTGGTACAAAAGGCGGCCTTATCGCTAAGCAATCTCTTCCAGACAACTTTTGGGTAGAGGACATTGAGAAAAAGACAAAGACATTCTTATAAACTTTCAATTTTATATTATTCAGTGTTACATTAAACTATTAAATACAGCACTTTAAAAATAGTGCTAATATCTTCGAATATTTAAAACAAAAAAAATGTTTTTAATTAAATATTAAAATAATTTTTTTTAATAGCTATTAACACCAAAAATAAAATTTGTTTCGTATATTTCTATACATTTCCCACATGAATTAGACAGAATTACTAACGAGCATCCAGGTGATTATCCTTTACAAACTTTTATTTAATTTACCTATAAGATATTATATTAATACTAAATTAAATAGATTTAAGAAAAAATTATGTAAATTGAAAAATATTACAAAAAATTTTAATCTTCAAGATTATATATACACTGAGTCTTAAATTGAAATTTCATTACTCTAGTTTGTAATAGTTCTAAGTAGGTGGATACATTGTGAAAGGATCAATAATATAAGTTTGAAGACGTATCTAAAGAAAAATACAAGAGAGAGGAAACTTTACTAATGACGAAACTTACGTACGGAGTTGTCTTAGTTTTGAAAGTCTTCGAAAATTCTACAAACAAATCTACTTATTACCACTTTTCTATTATTCCGGTTGTCAGATTCCAAATTGAAGATGATATTTAATTCGACGGTATTTTTTCTTGTTTGCAACACAGTAAATCTTGTCTAATTCTATACTTATTTTTATGAATAGAGATAAAATAATATATAGATGATACATTATTTTATCCATAATCATCGAAATAAGTGCAGAATTTAAGCTTTTTTAGTTTTTAGTAGCCAAAAAAGAAAAAATCAATCGTGACAAAATAAATATGCCATTAAAAGCATAAATAATCCAAAAGAAATTTTGATCATTTATTTTTGCAATCCATATAGAATTGTTGAATTGAAAATGAATTATCGAAAACTGTTTACAATACGAAAAAGCAGTGCTTAATACAGGAAAAGAAATCATGCGAATAGAAAACGTCCGATTTTAATTTGGTTAAAAATGTCAATAAAAAAAAAATAAATCAAATGTTTATATCAATTTTAAGAGGATTTGATACAGACAAATGTCGGATTCTCACGGGAAAATACAAAAAACCAATTACACTCGTAATTTCACTGCAAAAAAAAAATAGAATTAAATGTATCAAGCCAAATCAGACTGGTAACGGATTCTCATGGTATAAAAATTAGAATAACGGAGTCGCGGAAATAACTATGTAGTTTACATATAAATCGTTAAAATAAAAACTTATAGATTAATAGATGCCCTACCTATTACATTTCTAGGGTTTTATCGTTATCTGTCCACTTAACATAGGCCTTCCCTATAGATTGTCATAAGGAACGGTCCCGAGTCTCTTGCATCTTCTGGCTCCCCTCAATGCAAAAATGAATTTGAGGTTGTCACTCCATCTAGTGGAGGGTCGTTTTACACTGAATTTGCTCCTACAGCGTAACTTCTCAAGAACCTTTCTTCTGCATAGATTGTCTTACAACTATCAGCAACTACAAGGACTATTGCCAAATATTTATTAACAATTTAGTAAAGAGTACAAGCGTTTGTGTAACAATATTGATATCAAACAAAAAATCAAAAGCAACATGAGTTTTAACAATAAAAATGATATCAAAATATTTCAATTTTTCAATTATATAAAATTTTTACATTACATAATTGTCTTGACAAAATGAAAATCAATATGTGAATTGTATATTGTATTGCGAAAGAAATAAATTTTTTTTAGAATTTTCTTAAAACTATCATAAATAAGCGAAACAGTATACTCTGTTATGTCCATGATACTGCTCATGTGTATAGGCGACGGTTACCACATTCCATCAGGTGGGCCATCAGCTTGTTTGCCATTCTAAGTTGTATAAAAAAAAAGATAAGAATATCTTACCATAATAATAATTGTTATTACTTCTCTTAAGAAACATAATAAATGCATTTGTGTATTCATGAACCAAATTATTTCATATTTATATTCGTACCAAATTATATACATTATCAGTATTTAAAATAAATTATCACGTAAAGAAAAAAAAACAACAACCTATTTACAGATTTATTTGCACTTAAATTCACGAGTTATAAAATTAAGAAAAATACAGTAAATAATTATTGTATCCAAAGAGTCCACAGTGTGTGAGTACAACTCTCACTTGACCGGTTTTATTTTAATTAAATTAATGTCGCACCATATTTTATTTTGACTGGAAATTAACTATGACATTACTACGAATTTTTCACCCTAGCTATTAGTCACACCTGTAACAATGCTAGACTACAATAAATTTTGAATGAACCAAACAAAATAAAAGCAATTTATTTCAATAAATATGGTAGTTAAATACACGATATCGTTGTTAATATTCATGAAATACTCGGCTAATAATTCACTTCCACATTAAATACTTATTTGAAATATATTTTACGACGCCATATTTATTTTAACAAGTGGCGATTTTTACATCCGCTGATACACATATTTTGTAGTTTCCTGAGCATCAATCTATATAATGACT